GCCCATATTGATTTGGGTCTGGGCTACCATCTGAGGCCATGGTGATGTTTGATCCATGTTGCTTCCCAGGGCCATGTCTGGGTCAGAGGTCCTAATACAGCCCAGGTCTGTGTTGATGTTCGTGGCCAATGTTGCCACAAAAGGGCATGAGGATGTCCATGGTCTGAACTGCCACCTAAATACATGTTTGTGTTCATGGACCTTGCTGCCACTGGGATGTGAATGGCCTGCACAACCATCTGAGGCAATGGTGATTTCTGCAGTTCAGGCTGCCTCAAAGGGCCTTCCTTATATGATATCTGTGGGCCTATGGGAGGCTAAGGCCATGTTCGTGGTCTGTGCTGTCACCAGAAACCATGTGGTCTATGTTCCTGCTGACTGTAAAGACCAAGAAAGCTACTTCTGCAGTTATAGTGATGACTGTAAACGCATAGCTGAGAAAGATGGAGCTGGAAGGCTCATATGACAATCCCTACCCCATCCACAACCACCACCACCACCACTCCCAAAATAGAAGCCTAACATTAAGCCATTGAAGAGAACTATTAAAGTATTATAAGAACACTGAAGAACTCTCCACAATTGATAGCTTCTGATATGGGGTGTGGGAGGGGAACAACTCAGATCTATTTAAGGGGCAAGCTACTAGAGTTTGACCATGCTCCACTGAGTATAGAGATAACACAAACCCAACTTGGTTTTTTTAGGTGGGGTCACAAGGCAGAGGGTGGACATGGAAGGACTGGGAATTGAGTGTAATAGGGTGCATGGCATAAAATTCTCAAAAACATCAGTAAAAATATTATGATTTCAGTGGAAGGAGAGGCCCTTGGTCCTGTGACGGCTGAATGCCCTAGTGTAGGGAAATGCTAGCGCAGTGAGGTGGGATTGGGCGGAAGCACCCTCATAGAAGCAGAGGGAGGACGAAAGAGATAGTAGTTGGTGAAGGGGAAACTGTGAAAAGAGATAACCAATAAGAGAAAAAAGAAAAAAAAACATTGTAAATAGGGCATGTTGGGGTAAACTGAAGGAGAAAATAAGAATATATATATATATACATATATATATATATATTTGTATATATGTATGTATGCATCTATGTGTATGTATGTATGTGTGTGTGTTTATGTGTGTATGTATGTATATATGTATGCGTGTATGAAATTCATAAGAATAAAGAAAATTTTTAAAAAATTAAAAGAAAACAGCAAACAGGAGAGGTTACCATTTGCTAGCTATTGGTTATATATTTTATTCCTAAAATAATCATTTCACCCTGGAAAGAGATCACTCAAACCAGCCCTCTGTGAAGTGTTTCCAACTCTCACTTCTCTCTCTCTCCAGGCCGTGATCATAAATGGTTTCAGCATGTACCACTCAAGGCCTGTTTCTTCTGTCTTCCCACTTGCCTGTTCAATCATTGACTGAAGATATTTGTGATGTTTAATTTTAAACCTACCATGCTATCACTGCCAAAATGTTAAGAAAGATTTGATGATTTTCATTATTTGATTTCTCTGAAAGCAGAGTGTCTCTAACTTCTGATCACATTCTCTCATCTTCAGACTGGCTATTGTAGTAGTATGATCATTACAGCCCATACTGACTAGAGTCAGCACCACAAGCCTTCAGTATGCACTTCAGTGGCTCAAACAAAAGGCTGACAGGCACTTGGCAATTGCCACCAAGTCAAGTCTGAGGACCCAAGTTAGATTCCTAGTACGCACATAGCAGAAACAAGATACTGAACTCTCACAAGTTGTCCTCTGACCACTATATAGGCACTGTGATTAGCCAGCACCATCCCCACCCCACCCCCAAAGAAAAAAAAACATAAAACAAAAACTGAGGTGACACCTGGAGAGGTCTCAGTGTTTAAAAGTCCTCAGTGCTCTTACAGAGGACTTGGGTTCAGTTTTCAGGACCCATATAGCAACTCACAACCATCTGTAATCCCAGTTCCAGGGTATATTTTATACCCTCCATGGTCACCAGGTATACAGGTGGTATTTATATATGCACAAAAGCAAAACTATATATATATATGATAAGTCTTTTTGAGGAAAGACACTGATGGTAGCCTTTGTAACTCCAGGAAGCAAATGTTCATAAAATATTTAAAGGAGGATCATAAATAAGCAACAGTTGGATGGCCAAAAGTAAAACATCACTGCATCATTCTACGTACAGTATAGCATGCCCAGGATCCATGGGATCTCACTTTATATAGCAGAGATGATAATGATAATATATGGAGGGACAAGATGTCAATACCTTAAAAGGACAGATGCTAAAAGTAGACAGGTCTTTGGAGCATCTTAAGTAGCTTCTTGGATTATGTACTGTGTGAAGTAGACATGGTAAAAGAGAGAACTGGGACAGCAAGATGGTTCAGGGGATAAAAGTGTTTGCTGACACAGCCTGATGACCTGAATTTGGTCCCCCAGAATCTACATAGTGCAAGGAAATAACAGACTCCTGCAAGTTTTCTTTTATCTCTACATAAACACTATAATATCCAAGTGTATATGCACATACACAAATAAACATTATTTAAACTTTTCAAACAAAAACACATAACTATGGCAAAAGTGTTGCTTTTCAATAGTTATAAAATAGGAATTCCAGTTGATAAAAAAAGTGGTTATTCAAAGAGAATCTTCTCTTCCTCTTTCTTCTGTTTCATTTTTAAACACTTATCCACTCTCGCTTTTAAACATTTTTAGATGGAAAGACATTCTGAGGAGTACT